TAACTCCTTTTTGTTTTAAAGAAAAAACTCGAGTCAAGTCATATTAGATTCTGTGTCATTCGATCTTATTATAGTTTTTTCCTCCACTAAAGCAGAAACCCAGCTGGTTCAGTTCTCGCAGCATAACAGAACTTGGATGTGTTGTACTTCCTGTGAACTCCTGTCAACTTCCCTGTTCCTGCCTTGTTATGAAAACCAACCATCTTTCTCGCGCATGCCCTAGTCAAAAAAACAAAACCATTTTTTTCAGGATTCGAATAACTCTTATGGGTTGTTGTCAAAGAAATTCGAAATTATACGGCTTGGTGTTCTTACAGTAGCTGTTCTTCCTTGTACCCTGTGTGAAACTCGCATGTTTTGCTCCATTCCTCAAATCCATTAAGTGTGCACCGAGCAGTGTAGATTGCCGAGGCAGCTAGCTTAGACGGAGAATATTCCAGCATCTCATACTCCACAAGGCAAAGCTCGATAATGAAAAACGATAAAAGCTCAAGCTGAAACCACAATTGCATATCACACAGCGTTAGATATAAAGGCCTTATGGTTTCTTTTCAAATAGATTCAGGCTTTTTTGTAAGGTAGTTAAAACAAACCTTTTTGTCAGATTCGGCAGCTTTGAGATACCGTTGCATGAACACATACGGAGTTGGCAAAGAGAAATTGAATTGCAAGGTGTTTGCCATTAGTTTCTCCTGTAATAGAAGTAAAACAAAGGTCACATGATGATATATTCAACTATGGTATATAATGATCAAAAGGTAACAAGATTCACCATATCAAGCACTTCTTTTCTAGTGTAAGCTTTGTCAGAGATCAAGATGAGATCATCTACTACTGGAACTGAAACTTCTTCGTACTTGCAAGCAAGCAACAAAGCAGTGACACCAACAAGTTGAAGCTTTTTCCTAACAATTTGATGAACCGCAAGGAATCTATCAATGACATTGATTGTGAGATAAAGTGTTTCCTCCATCAGTTCAAACTTGTAGTGCACCTGCTCAAAATTTTCAAGTAAATTTATCATCAGCCACATTG